TGCTACAATGAGTATCTTTGCACCTCATCTTTACTCTCATTTGAATCATTTTATAGATTTATTTTTGAAATAAATGTTGAATAAATTTTGGCAAGTTTAAGTCCTGATCCAGACCGTCACCTGTATCGTTTCACCCATTGACAGAGAGCATAACATTTCTCTTTTTAACTTTGCAGGAGGCAAAAAAGATAGAAAAATCTTCCCCTTCACATGTTCGTTTTTACCTTTCATTTGTGCACGCTGAGCAGTCTGTTTTAACTTTAGCCCATTACTATTCTCGTGGCTGTGTTGCAAAGGCTTCCCAAGGCTTCTGTTTTTGATCAAGTGATTGCAGCATACCAGGAAGTCAGTGTTGAAATACATTTTTTCTGGCATTAACTCTCAGTTCTCACCAGGCTAGTCCCAAACCGTGCATATTAAATATATCCCTACCTTGGAAATACCTCTTCTAGGGGAAAATTGAATAGTGACGGCATTAGAATCATAGACAGAATTATCTGGCCTGTTGTAATTTGTACTTTAAGGATTTAGTGTGTCATTGCTAACAGTGCCGAGAGTTGAGTGGAAATGGCATGCCCGGACTCTTTGTCTGAACTCTGTGTCTGAGTGGGCTTGTGTTTGCCGTTGGAAGTTTCGTCAGCTGGCACTTTGAGGGCAGCTTGATTAAAAGGATGGCCAGATCTGTGTAGCTCAGGGTATTCCTCGGCTGTAGAGTAGTTACATAGATTAAGAAAAGGGAGTTTTAAAAGCTGGTGGCTGAATATCACCTTGAGGGTTGAATAGTAATTAACTTTATTTTTAATACAAGAAAGTTACTTCATATGAGAACTGGAAAATGCTCACAATGTGGGTAAAGAGCAGTAATTATTTTATTGTCTCAAGACGATAGCTAGAGGGTACCAGAAAGAACTAACTAAACAGCCTGGAGAATAGCCTATAAAGTTAATCACATTGCAGAGGTACAAAAATGTAGACTCTTGGCTCTGGTCCTGTCTGGTAGCCATGCTTAATTCATCCAGAAAAGGTGAATGAATCAGCTTTTCTGGGTTGCTGAAGGGCTGTTATCTGCATAGGCAGGTAATATTTCAGAGATTTTTCAACAACAGTAAGAACTGTAGGACTTGGTAATACTACTACTATCTTGTACGTTTTTTAATTTGTGACTTTCCTAAAAATCCTGCAGAAGAGAAAATCGACTCTTAGAGAGGTTGTTTGATTTACCTAAAGTCATAGAACAGATACCAACTCTCCTGATTCTTAACCCAGTGAGTCATTTCTACTTCACCTTGAGGCCTATGGGCATGTGTGTCTACATCAATAATCCATTCCTGACAATTAGATATTCTACGTAGCAATACCAGCCAGGAGACTATTTCTTACAATTTTAAATAATAAAAATTAAAATGTATTACATGTCAATTTAAAACTCCATGCCAATTTCCTAAATATTAATACAGCAAGATGCCCCTGTATAAATAACAAATATATTGGATGTTAGATGCTAAAAACTAAATGCAAATAGTTCCTGCGCTCCAAATAGTTAATATAGTTGGTGGGAAACTATTGCTTTGTTTGAAGTAGTACATGGCACATCCCCTTGGACACTGCATTGTCTTCACAATGTCCACACAGAATTCCGATGTTCTGTCAAGAATGTAACTTTTCCTTTTCCTGTATATCATCTTGTCTAAATTGTTTTATTAAGTTTTAGGTGTGTGTGTATTAGCGTTACCTATATAAGCAACTGATGGAGGGATTTCCCTGGTGGTCCAGCGGTTAAGACTCTGCGCTTCCACTGCAGGGGGTGCGGGTTCCAGCCCTGGTTGGGGAACTAAGATCCCGCATGCTGTGTGTGTGGCTGGAAAAAACAACAACAACAACAACAAATGATGGAAAACATGAATGTTTGGATACTAAAAACCACAGGGAAATGTCAACTAGAGAGATGGTCTCTAGGGTCTGCCTGTTAATAACCTGGCTGTAAGCAGAGGACATTAAAGCTAAAGCTAGTGAAAACTGCAGTCACACTTAGTCACACTTAGTTCCATACTTTGGGTTAATGCAAATGTGTAGTTCAGAAAACCAGGTTTCTCTGGCACATCTTCACAAGGATGGCTGGCCAAGTCCAGTGTGTGCTGGAGCAGAGTCACTGGGAAAACTAAAAGTAAACGTGGAGCTACACACACACACTAAAGACTGAGGATATTTCAAGGAACTGGCTTCATTTAAGAGCTTGGGCCTGTAACAGAAGGTCTTGCTTGCCACTGTGTGTCTGTGCGGGCTCACTGGAGTTTTGGGTGGTTGCACACACAGCTGTAGTGAGACTACGAGATGGCCAGTCTGAATCTTTGCCCTTCCCCTGCCTACTGCCATGCTTTCCCATCCTTTGCTTTCCTAACTCTGAACATCCCATTTTCAGTAAATGAGTTTTGGAGTCTGTCGCACGTAAGGGGTGGGAGAAGTGAAGAGAGGGCTGGCTTGAAATCATAACTTGGAGATTGTGGCAGTGAATTGCATTTGGCTGAATTCTCTGATATGGAAAGCAGGTAACCTTTGGGGAATAAATAGAGAAAATTTTGTCTGTAGCTGTTAATAGTCACTGATTCTACTTATTATTTTATGTTGTTTTCTAATATAGTTTGGCTTGAATATTTACATTTTAAAATACATTGTTTTTTTATAAATTACTTTCACTTTTTTTTTTCTTTATATTCCAGTTAGAAAACTTTTTTTTTTTTTTTTTGTAATTGTGTATGTAAGTATGTCATGACTGTGAATTTCATTTCAGGTAGTAAAAGGAGAGGTAAGAACAAATAATTGTTTAAAAAGGGTGTATGTTGGTCCTGGGATTTGATTTTACCTGGTTTAAAGCTCTAATGAGGTAGCTTGTTACTGTTTCACGGATGTTGGTAGAAGACACAGTATTCTTGGGAGAGGGACAGAGCCTTACTATGCTAGATGCTCAAAGTGTTTCTTATTTTCTTACAAAATCTGTATGAGGTAGATTTTTAAAATTTTCTTTTTATATATATATATATATTTTATAGAATCAAAACAGACTTAAGCAATTAAGTAACTTGCACAAGGTTTTCCCAGCTAGTAAGAAGATTGGAACCAGTTTTTCTGAGCCCAGTTCTCTTACCTCTATATACTGTAGTATACAATTCTTAGTCCGCAGTTTGTTGGGTGGAGAGATCTGTGTATATCTTTAGATCAAGATTTTAAATTTTGTGTATTTTGCTTTGTATTCTTACTGATTTCTAGTTCTTTGATATATCAATTTCTGATGGAAATGTTAAAAATCGATTGTGGATTTTGTCCATTTATCTATATAATTCTGACTTTCAAGTTTATACATTTCAAAGCTATATTTGGAAGTGATATATAATTATAAACTACATAATTATAAAAATTAAAATTTATATAATTGTAAATATAAAAAATACAATGCTATATATATTTACGTATTTCAAAGATATATAGGTTCAGGCAAATTGTTCTCCTTGACAAACTGCTTTCCTTCTTTATCACTGTTTACTTATTTTGCCTTATGTTTATGTACTATTAATATTACTATAATATGTGAGCTAATTTGAGAGTTGGTATTTGTCAGATACATCTTTTTTCATCTCCTTATTTTCAGTGTTCCTAATTGGTTTTATCTCTGGTGTGTTTCTTATCAGAAGCATATAGCCATAGTTTGTTTTTTTAAAATCCAGTCTGGTAACCCCTGTCTTTTGAAAGCTTGCCCCCCGACCCTAATCTGTTTAGAACCTGCATTTTGTTTTGTATTTTGAGTGTCATAGAAGTTCAAAGTGTAATGGAAATTTCTCAGAGCCAACGTGGTACTGCTGGGGTGAGCTTTGGGCACAAATGTGTGCATTTTAACTCAAGCTCTCTGTCATTAGTAGTAGCCCCTTAGCAGGTTTGCATCTCTAGAGCAAACTTAAAAGACCATGTTAGAAAGGAACGTAGCTTCTTGATTATTTGAATACATTCTTTGGTTTGGAGTAAAAGGACTGTAGAATTAAATATATATATGGCATAAGAAGTTGAAAGGATTTTACTTTAAGGAGGAGAAGTAAAAACTACAGAATTGGAATCTCAAGAAATGACTCCTGTTTTTTATAGAGTCACCTGTGCTGTGTGGAATACAATATAGTTAGAAGCTTTTAAGCTGAAAGAACACAGTATGCTGTTTATCATACATTCTAGGGAAATGAGCATATCATTCTGAATGTTCCCTTTTTTGCTCATTCATTATATTATAGAGGAATAAATTGCTTGGACAACTTAAAGTGCTGAGTTGTTTATCATTTGAATAAACAGTAAAGGTTTTTCAAAGTAAACATAGTGTGACAATTCTTGTTGTGTAAGTTTTTAGGGTAGAACTCTTGTCAATTTTTCATCTCAATAGCAAAGTAGAGCCATAAAGAAAGAGTTAGGGATAATATCTACATTCAAGGTGAAAGATGATGAACAGCTGACTGTAAAGATTCCTTGAAGGCTAAGATCTACCCAAAACTGAGATCCCACTAAGGGAAGAATTCAAGAATGGCCAGGATATTTTCTTCTATAACAGGATGAATAAAGGTGACAAACTTACTGAGGTAAGCCTGTTGAGAACAAGCCTCATAGATACCTACGTGGACAGGGTTTACACACACACAGATAAATACTATTTTTTTAATTGATTAAGAGTTATAATTAATAAAAGTCTCTTGTAACTGTCAACTGAAAAGTGGTCCAAGTTAGGAAGGAAGTTAAGCTGCTGGACTTGGTGTGTTTTGCCTTTCTTTGTCAGTCTCAGCTTTTCCTTACTAGGTCATTATTTGTCATGTTTTTTCCATCTAAGAAAAGTGCACCTGTATCCTGCAGGAAACACTGGAAATGCTGTGGGGGCAAATAGCAGAGGCAGTGCCATCCCCAGAGTAGTGGTGGCAGCGTGTGTTGTCAGATGCCGCTGCCCTCTGTCACCATGCTGCCTCTCCTCTGTGCAGTGTGGCTTCCTGTTGTGGTGCATGGCTCCCAGCCCGGCCAACGGAGCGGACCTGCTCTACGCGCGCATCATCCGTCCTTTCTTCCTGAAGCACGAGTCGCAGGTAGACAACATGGTGAATGACTTGAAGGACAAAGCCAAAGAGACTGCAGATGCCATCTCTAAAGAAGGTATGGCTCAGGGACAGCTGATTCAGCGTGTGAGAGGACATGGGATATACTGAGCCCACGTAACAAGCTTCCTCACTTTGTGTCCTATAACCTTTCCTCAGCCGTGTGCCAGGGCTAGTCCGGGATTTCTTTCCCAAGACTTTGCCTGTTGCCTTTACTTTTCCCGACATTCTTCTGCCATGTCACATAAAACACATCATTCGGTCAGCACTTTAGGAAAAATGACTTTCCTTTGGTGGGTAGAGATTTCAGAGAGTCATCTGTATTTATACACAAGTGCCATCTCTTTAATTCATTTCAGGTTGAACCACTTAATATGCTGTTCACACTGCTTTTGTTAGAGGGCCAAGAGAATGCCCTCTCTCTCAGCTCTCCTGATCCTTTCGTTCAAATACTTATTTGTTGAGGTGCTTAATATGTGCCAAGCATGTTCATAGCACTGGGCATGAACCAGGGAGCCAGACAGACCAATGGACCATAGTGAACTCTTGAAGGTTACAATCTTGTTGAGAGAAAGGGAGAGACGATACCGTTGAAAAGCAAGTTATATGGCATACTTAGCAGATGATACAGAGAAAAATTAAGCAGATAGAAAGACAGGGAGTGCCAGGGGCTGAAGGGAAGGTTACAATTTCAAATAGAGTGATGTAGCAAATCCTGTACTGAGTCAAAGTTGAAAGTGCTAAGGGTAGGAACCATGGGGAAGAAAGCTCCAGATAGGAGAAACGGCATGTGCAAAAGCCGGGAGCGGGCAGAGTATGATCGGTAGGGGGTGATCTGGAGGGAGAGTTGAAGGAGACAAGGTCAGAGAGGCTGCGGAGTGGAGCTGGAAGAGGACAGATCATATAATGCCCTCCAGGCTGTTGTAAGGGCTTTGGCTTTTATTCTGTGTGAGATGGGCGTGAGCTGGGGTGCCACTGGAGAACTGTGAGCAAAGGAGCAATATGATTCGTCCTCTGTTGGAACAGGTTTATGTTGGCCACTGTATTAAGAATAGACTGAAGGGGGACAAGAAGGAAATCAGGAGACCAGTTAAAAGGTTATTGCAGTGATCTGGCTGAAGATGGTGGTGGTGGCTTGTTTGTAGTGGTAGCAGTAGGAGGTAAGAAGTCAGATCCTTGATATGTTTTGGAGTTAGAACCAGTAGGACTTGCTTATGGATCAGGCATGGAGTATGAGAGAGGAGTCAAGGACGAGGCCAAGTTTTTTTTAGCCTGAACACATGGAAGGATAGAATTGCCACTGAGCTGGGGAAGACTGGGTGTTAACAGGTGTAGAGGGGAAAATAAGGAATTTAGTTCTGGACATAACTTTGTGTCTACTGGGTACATGGAGAAGTCAGCACAGCCAGGTGGATATGGATGTTGAGAGTTCAGGAGACAGGATAGGGCTAGGGATAGAAATTTGGGGGAGGAGGGTTACCCACATATGGACAGTATAATAAGCATGAGACTGGATGAGATCACAAGGGAGTGAGTGTAGTTAGAAAAGAGGAAGTCTGAGGCCTGGGCCCTGTGGCCACCAATATTTAGAGATCGAAGAAATGAGAAGCAACCAAAAAAGCAGACTGATAAGGACTGGCCAGTTGAGCAAGCAAGAAAACTTGAGACTGTGGTATCCTTGGGGCCAAGTGAAGACACTGTTTCAAAGAGGAGGGAGGGGTCTGTGGTCACACGGTGCAGACGGGTCAAGGAGGATAAAGGCCGAAAACTGACTCTTGGATTTAGCAGTGAGGAAGGCACTAGTCGTCTTGACAAAACAGAGTTTGTGGGGTGGTGAGAGCAAAATCCTGATCAGAATGGATTTTATGGGAGGAAGGGCATGAGAGAACATAGATTAGTCTTTTGAGAAGTTTCCCGCAGAGAGGAGTAGAAGAATGGGGCTGTAACTGGAGGAAGGTACTAGGGTCCTGAGGATGTTTTTTTCTTTTTCTTAAGGTAGAAGAAACAAAGTAGGTTTGAAAATTAATAGGAATGATCCAGTAGAGAGCAAAAAAATGATAGGAGTGAGAAGGTGAATTGCTGGAGCTCTGTCCTGGAATAGACCAGAGGGGACAGGGTCTAGAGTACAAATAGAGGGATCGGTCGTAGGAGCAGGAACAGTTTAGAATCATAGGGGGGGAATCAGTGTTGATGGGTGAAGATGCTGGTAACTGAGCGTATGTGATGGTGAGAGCTTACAGAAGTGATTTTCTCATCACTCATCTCATCAAATTCCTCAGTAAACTAAGAAGGTCAACTGAGAGAGGGTGGGGAAGGAGGTGATAGAAAGGGGAGATGGTATGAAATAGTTACTTAGGACGAGGGTCAGCAAGCTTTTTCCATAACGGGTCAGATAATAAATACTTCAGCTTTTGCTGGCCATCAGGTCTCTGTGGCATCTACTCAGCCCTGCCATTGTAGCTTCACGCAACACGCAGCCAGAGGTGACACGGTGACCAGTGCGTGTGACTGTAATGTGTTGGCCGCTCTAAGACAGGGGCGAGTGGATGGACTAGGACAGTGTCGTGTGATCGCCAGGGGGCATTAGAGGCTCATGGGAGGTTTGTGTTCCTGGACTTATAGTGAGGCCGCGTAGTCTGCTTGTGTCTTCTTTTCCAGCCACATTTCCAGCTGTGTGGGTGCAGCTGTGGGATAGATGGAGAGCTGCGTCCGGGTTGACTTGGTTAAGTGGGAGCTCTGAAGGGGGATCTAATGAGTGGTTCATGTTTGATGGCGGAGGAGGGAAGTGAGGACAAAAGGGAAGTGAGGAACGGTGAAAGGGGTGATAGAATCGATGGCTTATACAACCAGGTGGTGGGGGAAGAACAACTCGGAGTCAGGAAAATAGAGGGAGCGGGCTGCAAAGGTAGGAGGTGATGGTGGAGTGGGACACTCGGCGCTGAGACCGGAGAGGGGCAGCCATTACTGGTTGTGACAGTGAGGACGTGAGGTAGGCTGGAGCAGGTAGGGTGGAATGTCAAGGTTATTGGAGGGGAGGAACCAAGAGGCCAGGATACTGGAAGAATATCGTAATCACTGATAATTTAAGAGTAGTGCTAGAGAGTGATATTAAGTTTGGGGTTAAAATCTTAAAGAAATGAGGCAGCACAGCCCAAGGGTCAGCAGGCTGGAAAAAGAAGGGCTGGTGGGAAAGATAATCTGATGACATGAGATTCTGAACATGGCCCTGAAGAACAAAGGACGCTTTCTGGACCTCCAGACCCAGTAGTACCAGGGTCATGGAAGGAAAAAACAGCCTACACTTGAGAAAGCAGTGTCCTTAGGGGACAGCCACGTTTCTGTAAAAGCAACAAGGTGAAGGAAACATTCAGAGAAATGGATGAGGATAGAGGAGATCTCGCTAATGATGGGACTTAAATTCCAGAGGGCACAGTAAGGGTTTTAAAAAGTGGAGAATGGGCATAGAATTAGAGAATTAAAAAAAAAAAAGTTCTACAATAATGAGAAAGTGGGAGACAAGAGGTGACCTGGCCCCTGAGGAAGGAAGATCCCCCAGATGGTCCCCCGGCAGCTGTGTGTCCCCGCAGTGGTGTGCTCTCCCCCCACCCCCCCAACAGGCCGTTCTCTCCCGACGCCCGCTCCTGGGCACATGGCTCCAGTCTCCTTCAGAACGTTTTTTAGTTTCCTCACATCCTCCCACTTTGGGATCGCCAGTTCCTTTTTAAGAGATTTCTTAACTGTTCCTCCTTGCTCTTAGCCTAACCAGCAACCTCTGGTGATGTCATTTCTGTCTAATTTGCCCACATTTCTTAGTCTTTGATTCTCTCAGATCTCAGTACTCTGAAATCCGATTTTACTTTGATACATTCCTAAACACAGGTGTGAGAATGAAAATAAGTTAAGAGGAATTTAGGTGCTGACACATTTTAGACTTTTCTCCCAGTTTCTGGATTCTCCAAAAAGGACATTTTTGCAAAAGGCTAGTTAAGAGAGAAGCTGCAGTTTCTGTGTAAACTTCATTCAGCAATTTTAATTGAGTGAAGGGAGAGCAGCTGTCAGGCAGCTGGTGAACAAGGAGGGCCTCCTTGGCTGGCATTCCCCTTGGGGCTCCATCAAGAACAGCTGCAGTTTGTGGAATCTCAGGAGGCCTGGAGGCTTCCAGAACACGTCCCCCTGCCCCATCATGCATATCACACTCATTCTTACAGCACATTTCAAGCCACTTGGTAATTAGGCAGGGTAGGTGGGGCTTAATCTCCCACAGATATAAGAATATTTTCCTGATGAATGTAGCTTCGTGCCATGAACTTGAAGACTTACAGCAAACTCTTCCCATCATACAAGGAAATGGTGGCACAATGATAAAACATAAACATGCATATAAGTATTCCGTCATTTCTTGATTCGGGGAATGATGATTTTCTCTGATTTTTGTCACCAAGGCATAGACAGCCGACCCTGTTGTCATCAGATTGAGACATAGTGAAATTGTACAGGTGAGCACTCAGACACAAAGGAGAATTTCTTGAATGTACAGGGGACACTATATGCTCAAGGAATCTCTACTTCTTGTGATACTTAAAGGGGGACAGAGGGCAATGGCTTAGGTGACAGTCACTACAAGGGGGCTAGGCCAGACGATCTTCAGTAACTCTGCTCAAGTACCCAGGATTTGCCCTTGAAGAGGTCTCTTGTCCATTTCCGGGAAACTCTCCTAGCCCTGCCCACAAACCTCGGTATGTTCTCATCTGAGCACGAGTCATCCAAGTTGTTAATCTAGTAGCTACATTAGGCACAGAACCCCATTGCAAATAGCTCTGATGCAATTTTCTTTCCTCCTAACAGCCAAGAAAGCTGCTGTGAATTTACTGGGTGAGGAAAAGAAGAGCACCTAATTCACTGACTGGATGAAACCTTTCTGCCCTCTCTGCACCTTCCTTTTAGAGCTTGATGTTATATTAGGAACTGTGGTATAATCATTTTAATAATGTTGCCTTGGAAACATTTTTGATATATTAAAAAAGAGGAATGTGTAAGTTTTTTTGCTTACTTTTACTGTCTATATACACAGGGAACATTTAAATTTAATGCAATGGGCAGTGTCCAAGTTTTTGGAAAGTACAGTTTGCCTCTGGGTAGGAAAAGACACATGTCACCATCCTGCAGGAAATATAAACTTAAAATTATATATCCTACAGGCTTTGTACTTCAGTGGGCTGTCTCTGCATGCATTTTCTCTGTACTTTTAGGATACTCTATAACGGTCTACTTCATGTAATGTACAATTTTGTATTAAATGTTTTTAATGTATTTGTGCATACACACGCATAGGGAAATGTTACTGTCTGTGCATAATGCTCATGGGGAGCTCCTGCCAAAGGCTGAAGGTTCCACTGTGCTGGTGTGATCTGAATAATACTTTAGAAAATTAATACACATGAGTAATGTTTCGAGTGAACAGTTAAGTGATAAATGAGGCTGAACTGGAGGCTGGCCTGGTGGTTTTCCTAACATTGTAGCAGCTGAATACAAAAACGGCTTTGTAAAGCAGTCAGTTGAGTGATAAATGGGGAAGTGTACACACACACACATCACAGCTCCCAGTTCTGTAGAACTACTAATATTGTCTTGTAGCTTTTTAAAAATTGGCTGATAAGCTTTCAATCTGTCTGTTTTTAAGATGCTATAGTGGAAACCATCCCTGGTTTCACCTTCATAGCTGAATAATATGTTGGTTTAGTCTTGCTTCTTTTCCAGTCTTTTTAAAAGCAGTTAAGGAACCTCCAGAGGCTTGCCCACTTCTGATTACATGTACATTCTTGTTTTTATCATTAGCAACTACATGCTAATGATGACACCAGGCTCTAAGAGCAATTCTCGGAGAAGAAAGGAAGTATGATATAACCCATAATCCAGTTGGCAGTGGTTAAGACAAATGGCCTTCACCTTCTTTCCCTGGCCTTTAAGGTCAAACACCAGATGCTTCCCTAGTTTACAAATCAGAATCATTTGTAGTCCATTTACACGCCTTCATCTTTATGCTTTACTTTGATAAACTGCACACAACCTCATAGTTTAAGTACAGAACACAAAGTTAAAATTAATGTCACTAGCTTGATTAGCCACATAGCTTATAGGGACCTTGACAACTTGTCTGTACTACGGAATCTGAGCTTTGCACCAACCATACTGCTAGGATGCTTCTGAATTAGACTAAACTGACCAAAACAAGAGCATAACAAAACTAAAATTAAATATCCATGCCTGTAAAATATTTCTTAAAGCAAATAAAGATGATTAGTTCCCTTTTAGATAACAATTAGGTAAAATCATAATGATGTCTCATGAAATCATTTCTCATGAAATATCAAAGATATCAAAAATAGGGGATAATATCACCCTAATATTATAATAATATGGATAATATCACACCCAATATTATAATATTTTTGGGGGGGGAATGTGATGATAAGGCATCTTATTAACCATACCTTAAAAAATAAAAAACTTTTGGAAAGCAAACAGAATTACTTGTTATTGGAAGAAAATCAAGCCTTAGGTTAAAGATTTTAAAAAGTACCTCTAGGAGTATTTAAATCCCTTTCCCCATAAACAAACTATGCTTTTCTTGGTGACAGAAGAATGAAAATTAGCAACTTCTAGCTAATCAGAATATATAATCAGATTGTTAGTACACAAAATATGTAACTTTTAGTATACAAAGTATCAGGCAAGGTGGAGCATACAAGTTACTATTGCTCATAACTACTTACAGGCTAGTATCAGTTTTAAAACTACTATACTAAGAAAATTCTGAATGCAATTTTTTTTATCCCTATAGCTTTATCCTGCAGTGTATTCTGTAAGAAATTTTAGTTACTGTTTTTGGCAGTCAACGTGTACATATTAATGACAGGAGAACTTATGAGTGAGCAATTCTGTCTGTTTCGTTTTCACAAATAAGATATTGCCATGGCTAGAGTATTTGAAAAACTAATCGAGCCTGCGTCTAGCTATAAGACAAGCATTTGTTTATACATGAACACTATTTCGGGGATATGTAAAGGCAAAGAATTCCTACGACAATTCTTCTCCTACTTAAAAGCTTCTGATTGACAATTACTGCTACTCTGGGGAGTCTTCTACCTACAGCCTGAAGAGCATAAGCATAGTCTTTAAATAAGTTACCAACTATCCTGAAGATGTGATACAGTAAATGAAAATGGATGTAAATAAAATTCCGTTATCTCATTGAGCTGTTTTAGTTCATTTTATCTGATGGGGCTTAAAAGACTTTCCCTAAAAACATACCAAAAAAGGTTTCTACCAGTAATTAGCATGAGATGGAGAGGAAACCTAAACTACTCTTGACCTTTGAAACAACACAGGTTTTGAACTGCACGGGTCCATTTACATATGGAGTTTTTTCAATAAATACATACTACAGTACTACACGATCTGCGGTTGATTGAATATCCAGTTGCAAAACTGCAGCTCTGGAGAGCCGTTTGTTTGCAAAGTTATCACTGGATAGTTGACTGTGATAGTTGTCAGCTGTACTGCTTTCTACTGGCATAATGTATTACACACAGTCACATACAACTACTAGTTGGTGTTATTATTGCATGTAAGTATATTTTGATGTAGTAAACACATATGTGCCTCCAAATCACTCTACTTTAAGAGACCAAGAAAAGAACTTGGGATTTTATTAAAAATACCTACTTCTGGAGGGCGTACTTTGGTCAGCTTCATCTCCTGCATTTGCTTATTACATGTCTGTATGTCTAGAATCATGGTGTTTAGAGTAATAGATACAATTCACATCCTTAGCCATCAAATATTACAGTTCTATATAATACAGCAGGAGAAAGTAAATATATTTGAGAATGACCTTATTTAAAAGTTTTTCTGGCTGCTTACTACAATATTAGCTTATAAAGTATCTTTGTAAACACACACCTCAGAGAACTAAGAGAAATAAAGAGGTTATTTGGTCAAATTAGTGGTTCTCAAACTTGTGTGCATCAGGATTTCTTGGTGGGGGTTGCGGGATCGGGAATTGGTAAAACAGATTGCTGGCCTCATCCCCAAAGTTCCTGATTCAGGAAGCCTGTGGTGGGGCTGAAAAATCTGCATTTCCAACAAGATCCGAGGTGATGCTAATGATCCAGGAATCACAATTTGACACAAAACCACTGGGCTAGATTAATGCTCTCTTTACACTTAGTACACAGAGGTTTTCAGGCCTGGGCTGTGCATTACAATCATCTGAGCAGCTTTCAAAAAATACTGGTATCTGCCTCCACTACCAGAAATTCTAACATTAACCTACTATACACCCAGGTGCCAGTATTTTAAAACTCTTCAGGTGATTCAAACATGCAGCCAGGGTTGAGAATGTGAAATAAGATTTGTATTTATGGCAAGACAAGAAAAATTTAAACATAAAAATTCTTCTCTGTCCTTTGGTCTCCCCTCTCCCCCCAGTGTGCACTGTGTAGCCACATTATGCATTGACCAAAGCTCCCCCATTAGCAGGAATACCTGCTCAACCATAAATAGCAACATTCTCCTAGCATCAACAAGACAACTCCTCGAAAGATAACAGGCCTTCTTGAGCTTATAAAGGTTCACATAACCCACCACGATGGCGCTTAGATCTGGATTATGAAAACTGTCAAGTACAAACACATCATTTAACATACAGCCCTGTCTTAAAAAAAACCATATATAAACTGTGTCTTGACTTCTAATGGGCAGAACAATTCTCAGAGCTTTCTGAGATGCTCTTCCCGGGTTTGAGGATGCTCAGTCCTCAAATTTGGCTTGAATAAAATTTTCCCATTCTTTCTTAGATCAACTGATTAAATTTTTCGCCAACAAGAACTACTGGTAGAGACTACTAGTAAGGTCGAGAATCCCAAGGTCTGGAGAGTTTGTCTTAGCTCATCAGTTCACCTGGTGTGTTAGTTTCCTATTGTTGCTGTAACATGTTACAACAAATTCAGTGGCTTAAAACAACACAGATGTATTAGCTTACAGTTCTGAAGGTCAGACATCCAAGAGGTTGGCAGGGCTGTATTTCATCTGGAGGCTGTAGGGGAGAATCCACTTCCTTGCTGCTTTCAGCTTCTACATGCTGCCTGCACTCCTTGGTTTGTGGCTACTTGGTACTCTGACCTCTGCTTCCCTTTGATAAGCACCTTTGTGATTTACATTGGGCTCACCTGGATAATCCAGGCTACTCTGCAGCTCAAGATCCTTAATCTCATATGCAAAGCCTTTTGTCATGTAAAGTAACATACTCACAGGTGGTTTTGTTTTTACTGTTTTTTTTTTTTCGCGGGGGCGGCCAGTGGTAGGGAGAGCGGCCCATTCTGCCTACCCCACCTAGGCTCTCTTTGGGTACAGAAATTTCATTATAGTTACCCTCAATACCAAAACAACTGTAAAGAGCATCTTAATGTTGGGAGGAAACTAAAAAAAAAAAAAGGGTTTAGGGAAGAACTATTCATATCCAAGTAAAGACTGGAGGTTTATCCTCTGGAGATAGTAAGAGGATCTTTGGAGTAGGGGACACAGGCAGAGTTAAGGGAGGGAAGTTGTATTAAAAACAGGATTGAGCGACTAAATGCTGACACCCATTAGCCCCACCCTGCCTTCTCCCACTAGGCTCCCAGATCTTTATCCTCCTGGAAGCTTCTTAGACTTCTCTCTGGGGAAGCACATCAGCCTAAGAGAAAACACCTCTGATCTTGGAAGTTTCCCCCAAAATGTCTCAGCCAGATATCCCTTTAGTGAAACTCACAGTCTGCAAGCCCTTCTTATATGCTCAGAACTTCCAATCAACTTTTTTGGTCTTTCATTCTTAAAAAAAAATTAAGGAAAGCCACTTAAACATGACAGGAATCTAAATAAAAACAATTAAAAAAAAAAGTGACTTGGAAGTAAAAGGATATAAACCATACCCTCTAAGAAAGAAGAAATTACATCCATGAAATAAGAATAGAATGCTAGAAAAAGGAAACATTTAGGTGACAAAAGAGCTTACAGAAGTTGAAAATAACAAGAAAAATGAAAAGTTCAATAGAAGGGTTGGAAGATAAAGCTGAGAAATTCTAGGAACTAGAACATAAAGACAAAGAAATGGAAATAAGAAAAAAAGATAAGAAAATTTTAGGACTTGCCCAGCAGGTCCAATATTTAAGTAAGGAATTCCAAGATCAGCTCTCTGGCTATAGGATGCCTAGATGCTCAGAGCCTGAGGCTGATGCCACCAGGACCCCGGGGGAAGAGGGGCTCTGTTCTCATCTTTCAATAAAGCTGTTGGTCTAATTTTTTTTAAAAAGCAATTCCAAGATCAGAAAGGGGAGAAAAATCAATGAAATTTTCAAGAAAATCTCCCAGAACTGAAGAACACAAGTCTCCATATTGAAAGGGCCCATTAGGTACCCAGTACAATAGACAAAAGGAGACGCACACAAAGCACACTATTGTGATATTTAAGAATACTGAGATCTGAGTTTCAGTAAGAAAAATGTGAGTCACAATATCATGAACTAGAATGGCTACAACAGAAGACCATGAAGCAATTCCCTTAGACTTCTGAAATGATTTCCAATTCTAGTTCTATACCCAGCCAAACAGTGTGAGGGTAGAATGATGACACTTTCAGATATGCAAGGTCTAAGAACATTTACCTCCTTTACATTTTTCCCAGGAAGATCCTGAAGATGGGCTACACAAAACAAAGAAGTAACTCAAGAAAGAATACATAACATGCCGAAATACAGGATATCCAAAAACAGCAAAGTAGTGAAGCGAGTCATACTCTGAATGATGGTGAAGAGAGAGACCTGAGTGAAGCTGTGCACTGGGTGGAAAGGGTAACTAGTAGAGATTAGAGCCAGGTGAAAGGCTCCAGAAGAGACTTCTTTAAAAAGATGAAATTAATGAACTACTTGGGCTTCCCTGGTGGTGCAGTAGTTAAGAATCTGCCTGCCAATGCAGGGGACACGGGTTCGAGCCCTGGTCTGGGAAGATCCCACATGCCACAGAGCAGCTAAGCCCATGCGCCACAACTACTGAGCCTGCGCTCTAGAGCCCGTGAGCCACAACTGCTGAGCCTGCGTGCCACAACAACTGAGCCCGCGGCACCTAGAGCCCATGCTCCACAACAAGAGAAGCCACTGCAATGAGAAGCCTGCTTACCGCAACGAAGAGGATCCCCTGCTCGCAGCAACTAGAGAAAGCCCGCACACAGCAATGAAGACCCAACACAGCCAAAAATAAAAATAAATTTAAAAAAACAAAAAAAATAAACTATCTGATGTGAACAAACTATTTGTAAGGATGTTTTGACAACTGATAGTTTATGGCTGAGTTAGTGACAAATATTCAGAAAACTGAGCAAATAAAAGAAAAAAATTAGCCCCAAAGAAATAAAAAATAACCACAGCATACTCAAGAGTGTTTCTGGAGATCAGCTGGGGATCTTCCTAAATGCATTCAAATTCTGGGCTTGGGCCAGAGATTCTGCGTTTTTCACAAACTCCCAGGGGAGCCCAGTGCTGCTGGATCCCTGACCGTAATTTTGAACAGCAAAGGTACTACATGGTTCAGCTATGAATGGAGTATAGGATAATAATGTAAACTCTGAATAGTGATTAAAATTATAAAATACAGTGGTAGGAGGGAAGATGGGAAAGATGCATGCATGTGTTGGGGGTAAAGGAAGGAAAACGAAATCATCCTCCTCTACAGATGGAAGTTAATGCCTAAAATTGAAACTGTTAAAACTGGCTGGCTCTTTAAATTATGTACAATATTGATAGCAATAAAGTCCTTAAAAAAAAGGGCAAAGGATGTGAACATAATTCACTGAAATAAATACAAATGACATTTCAACATATGAATAAATGCTCAATTTTGCTCATTAGAGAAGAGTCTATTTTTCACTTGACTGGGAAAGAAGCAAAGTTAATTATTCACTGATTGCAGCAAGATGAAGAAACAGCAATATGTTACAGCAATAGTTGTGAAACCTTTTCTGACAATCCTACTGTCCCATGAGTAAAAGAATTTTAGATTCTAGTGATCTTTCTGTAACAAATCTTTTAAGTTGACCGCCCCAGTATCCACTCTCAACTACCCACTTCCTTGGCTGCCTCTACTATCAGGACTGAAAGGCTGTATTTCACTTTGTGCCAGAGTTCTTGACAATGAAACTTAAGTGAAAGTTGGCCAGG